CAACAAAGGAAAAGTTTGAGTTCCAAATAAAAAACAAAAGAAATTAGTAAAGTGATTCTTCTGGCGACACATTATGTAATAAAGAATTGGAAATCATACACTTTGATGACACATTATGTAATAAAGAATTGGAAATCATACACTTTGATGGCCGACATTTGGTATTTATATATGGTAAGTGCCAGGAACAAAAGAACAAAGCCCCCATCCATATTGCAAGAAAATAATTTAGTAAACTATAAATATCGTATAGTCGTCCTGAATAAATAATTTCTTTTCGAGTTTTTGCCAAAATAATAATATGGGTAATCTAACAGTATTGTAGAAAACCGTTTGAACAAAAAAAAGAAAAAAACATTATTATAGAAATAATTCTCTCAATGATGAATTGTTTTCATGTTTACTGATGAGTTGGAAAGCACACCACACTTTGGCTTCGTGGTTTTGCATCTGTTTTCCCTCTCATCTAGCTTGCTAATCCATAGGTATGTAGCATCTAATGGTATCACCCAATAGGATTGAACTCAACTAGTCTTGCTCCCCCCACCCCCCCCGGGGAAATTATGCAAAGAAAAACACACAACATAGTTTCATTTGGGACCTTGGAGTGAGGTAAAAGCCAGAGGTCCAAATCCGATCCATATTGCAAGAAAAGAATTTAGTGAATTATAAATAATAAGGGAGAATTATATTCAGACCACTTGAAATTTGTCACTTAATCATTCAGACCCCCTGACATTTAAAATATTATAGACAGACGCCCTTATGTTTATACATGCGTAACATTTAGACCATTGCTGTAAATATATCAGTTAATAAATTATACTTAGACTCTCTGAAGTTTGTAGGTATATAACACTTAGACCCTTTAAGTTTAAAATATTATACTTATACTAAAAATACTCAAATCAAATATAGAATATCAAATATTTTAAATTGTATAACCAAAATTCATGTTTTATTGTATCATTTAGTGAAATAAAATTAAAAATAAAAAATTAATTTTTTCTTAAAAAATCATAATTAGTATACAATTATACTATCTATTGGAATAAAACTAAAAAAATAAACAAGGGGTCTAAGTCATTCATAGAATATGAATTTTACATCCAAAATTCATGTTCTATTATGTCATTTATTGAAATAAAATCAAAAATAAAAATCTAATTTTAAAAAAAAAATCATAGTTAGTATATAATTATACTATGTATTAGAATAAAACTAAAATTAAATTTTAATAGACAATAATTGTATGTTAATTACGTTTTTTTAAGAAAAAATTGAATTTTATTTTTGATTTTATTTCAATAAATGATACAATAGAACATGAATTTTAGTTGTAAAATTTAAAATATTTGATATTTTATTTTTTATTGGAGTATTTTTTGTGTACATATAATATTTTAAATTTAAAATGTCTAAATATTCTATATACTTACAAACTTCAGAGGGCCTAAGTATAATTTATTAAGTAAGATATTTATAGTATGAGGTTTAAGTGTTACGCGTGTATAAATTTCAGGGGATCTGTGTGTTATATTTCAAATATCAAGGGATATGAGTGATTAAATAACAAATCTCAGAGGGTCTAGATATAATTCTCCAAATTAATAAAGTCCATCAACAGTAATGAACAACAAAGGAAAAGTTTGAGTTCCAAATAAAAAACAAAAGAAATTAGTAAAGTGATTCTTCTGGCGACACATTATGTAATAAAGAATTGGAAATCATACACTTTGATGACACATTATGTAATAAAGAATTGGAAATCATACACTTTGATGGCCGACATTTGGTATTTATATATGGTAAGTGCCAGGNTTTCCTCCCCCCCCCCCCCCCCCCCCCCCCCAGGGGGATTTAGCAAAGAAAAACACACAACATAGTTTCATTTGGGACCTTGGAGTGAAGTACAAACCAGAGATCCAAATCCGATCTTCCAAAAAATAAAAAAAGGAAAGAAAATTTCAATGATGATATTACATTCGTATTATCGTCTACTATTCAGTTCTTTTGAAATTATTGTAACATCCATTTCGATATAATTGCATCACAACTCACGGATAGGATGGTCATTTTGACACTATGCGTAGTAGGCCAGACAGAAATTTGATATAGAATTATTCAATTAAGATTGATTAGTTATTTGACACAAATGCAAAAGTGACACTACTATTAACATGAATAATAATGGGACCACGTAGAGACAAATACAAATAACATTATTTTGACACAAACTCGTTTATTTAGTATTGTACGAAGAAAATGTTTTTTTTTTCCTTTGTTTCATTTCTTGAGCTGAAATGGTAGAAGATATTTTTTTTCCTATTTTCCTAGTATATGAATTTTTGTTTATGGAAGACCCATCAATAATTAGTTTGGTTGAGACACAAGAAGTTCTAGCTTTAATTTTTTGAAAAATTGTAAGTATACTTTGCTGAAAATATATTGTAGATAAGGACTATTAGTTGAAAATGTATTATGTTTAAATATACAATAACAGTCTTTTTAATTTTTCTTTACTAAAATATCATTTTCTATAATTGATGAACTGTCTAATTTGACCTTCCTCTTTCCATGTGATTTAGTTTTATTAAATAAGTGGTTTCCTATTTTAAAAGACCTTTATTTTTTGAATTTTAAATGTATATCATCTTCTTCTACTTCAATGGCTAGTATTATACTTCAATGTATGGTGCTCCTTTTCTTCAACTTCTTCTTATACTTCAACTTTTCTACTTCAACATCATATGCTCGTATTCTACTTTAATGTCTATAGATTTCACTTGCAAGTTGTGTACTTCTTCTTCAACGTTTGTTGTTTCTACCCAAATGTCGTGTTTTTCTTTTATTTAAACGACTTGTTAATAGATTTATGATTGGTGTTTAATTTAATTTTGTGTTTTTTTTTTTGGAAGACATTGAATGGATTTCACATTTGATTGTCAAACTTTTTATACCCAATTACGGTTATTGTATTGTATTGTTACACTGTGATGTAATACTGCTATTATAAATTTCAAATTGTGATTCCACACTGTGTAACCCAAAGATAAGAACCCTAGTTCCAAAAGACAATGTGTTATACTTCCACATGTTAATGGTTTAACTTAAACACTAACATATAATTACAAATCAGTCAATCCATAGTTAGTTCCGTAGACATTGTCAACGATTATAGTTGAAAAAATCGACAGTCGGACTTCAATGGTGTTCCAATGTATGTACAAAGAGTTTTTTAGTTCTAACAATTTTTGATTGTTTATACTTTTAATTTGGTTGAAATCTCATGGATTTTACGGTATTTTTATTTGAATTTCAAACAACCTATTTAGCAGGATATCGTTTGTCGCCGATTTTTATAGATATGCTGCTTAATTTTCGGTGGTCTTCAAACCCATTAGTTTGAGCCAATTAATTTTTATCGTGGATATATTTGGCATTCACAAATAAAAAAAAAATCTCTACACAAATAGTTTTACTCAAAGGAGTTTTACACAATTAAGTCCTACAAAAATTCCTTAATCTTTTTAGTTCACAGGTTATGCAGATTAACTCAAACAAGATATAATAAATAGATCAGATTGGCATCTATACATCCAACACAATTAATAAAGTGAGTAAGGTGGTGTTTGATAAAACTGAAAGTTGAAGTCTGAAAGCTGAAAGTTGAATTTGTGGATTGTTTGGTATTCACTAAAAATTAAATACTTAATTGAACCAAAATATTTGATAACTATATAGAGCTGGTATCTGAGAATAAATTAATTTTTAATTTTATCCTTCCACTCTTTAATTTAAAAATATTTATAAAATATGCTTTTATTTAATACAAAACTACGATATATCAACAAATACATAGAAAATAATTGAACAAATAAATTGTTAATCAATAACAAAGACGAATAGAATAATATCAAATTGAATAACACAATAAGTGAATAATAATATCTTATAAAAAAAATCTGAATAACACAATAAGTGAACAATAATATCTAATAAAAAAAAGAAAAATAAAAGGCATATGTGTGTGCACAACATGTGTGTGTAATGCGTGTGTGTAACTGTTAAATTGTGTGTGTGTGTGTGTAAATGTGTGCGCAGTGCGTGTGTATGTGTGTGTATAACTATGTGTGTGTGTGTAATTATGTATATATATTTTTGTTGGACAAGACAACGGAAGAAAAAAAAAAGAAGAAGAAGACAAGGATGAAGCTTGCCTGTTACCCATTGAAAAAGACGATCGGTTAGGCAAATAGATAGGTTAGGAGTTTTGGAGAAAAGAATAATTAGAGTTTTAAGAAGATTTTAAAATATTTCGGAGTATAATTATCATACTATAAATGTTATTAAAGAGATTTTACTGAACACTTTCAACTTTCAGAATTAAGTAAGAAATCTCCTATTTAATATTGTAGCCTATTTTAAAGGAGTACTTAATATATTATGAGAGTTTAAATTTTGGTTTTTCCTTCTTATGATTACCTTTTTTGTGAATAAATAAATTTCTCTTTTGTTAAAAAAAAAAAAAAAAAGTTTAAATTTTGGTTATCAAACGAGTTTAATTAATAAATATTGAATATATTTATTTTAAGTACTGAATTTGAGTTAACAAACATATCCTAAAATTGAGTCAACCCAAATACAAAATAACACAACCCACAAAATCACAAAACTCGGTTGTAGCCCAAATTAAAAGAAAATCATATATTAATTCAAGTCAACTTTCCAAACATATTACTTTCCAGAACTTTCCAAACATATTTGCCCACATGACATCCAACATGTAGCATCTAAAATAACACAATGGGAATGGATTATTTTTCACAACAACATTAAGTTGGGAATTGAACTAAAAACTAACGTTAATTCGACAAAGGCACTCTTTCTCATGTAAATTGTTTTGTAATATATATTCTAACAAAACTCTTAATTCATTTGTTGTAATTCTCTCGAATACAAAGATTATATTAAGCAATACAAATCTCAATAATCAAATTCTATATGCCCCTACTTTTATAAGCAATCAAATGGAGAAGTGCATAGTACATGTAATCGAAAGTTGAGAACGTGGTGTCTACCATTACGAGGGCCAACACAAACCAAACAACGAACATGTAAAAGATCATAAAGGTGGCTATGAAGGTCCCCGGGCTGCTCTCAAGTATATAGCCTTGCAAATAAGCAGTGGCGGACAAGCCGGTGGAGTACATAATTGTGAGGGAGGATATTATGGTTTTTACCGGAACTGCAATGTGAAAATCATTGGTGTCGAACCGCGATACTTGGATTAGAATGAGGTTTGTCAAGGAAAGAAAGGCGAAGAACAGAGCTAACCCTATGTAAGCCATGAAGAACTGCATTTCCTGCCAATGATCGGAGAGGAGCATGGGGTCCCCGGTATTTTGATTGAAGCCACCAGGGACAGTGAAAAGTGCTGCGAAATTAATTGTGCAGATGAGGGTGGCGGCGATAATTAAGTTAGCACTCACGTGTTTTGCTGCTTTCTCTGCTTCTTCTCGAAGAGATGAGTGATTTTCTTCAAATAGTTCCTCTGCTGTCTTTCCATCCATGTTTCGAAGGTGCTGTAAGTGTGGATAAGAGTCGTGCTTTACGCGCTGTGGAAAAGATGAAAAAGGATTAGGGAGGCATCAAATTAGTTATTAATGCAAAATGCTGTTTGTACTTAGTTTGAGGGTCTAATTTGTTATAGTTGTTAGATGAAAAATCCATCTCGACAAATATTGGGCTTCAAAATTGCTGTAGTACCTTGAACCAAAGCACATCCCAACTCATCTGGTTTGCCATTTCAATACTTCCCTGCTTCGTTAAGACATGATTTTTGGCACACGATGCGAGGTGCAAGATGGTGTTCCCTCGGTTATCAATATCTGCCAGCATCCTATCTTTGTAAGCTAAAGAATTCATCAAGTGTTGATAAAGAAATCTATGCTTCTGCTCCACCGTTATATGCAATATATTCCTTCCATTCTCGTCAAAGGAGTCTGCAGCCACGGGATACTTTTGGAGGATTGCCATTATCAACTCAAGAATGCCGAACGTTGTTGCCTGTATGAGCGGGTTGGGTGCCTTATTCTTCTTCCTTGAAGAAATCCCAAATGAGCTAACTTCGGGATCTATATTTTCACAGTAAATGTAATGGCTCCAATGTTCTTTTTCTATCAATTTTTGTGCCAGCTTTACGACTACTTCATGCTTCTGCTTTGCATCGTAAATTTTTCCGAAAAACCAGTAACCTAATAGAAGAGGGACAATTGTAGTAGTAGTTATATAAGGAGAATATTAGGATAAATAGTCTAGGGAGAGCGACACTTTATCTTTAAACATGATAAATTTTTGGTTCTTTCCCTAAAGATTAAAAGTCTCGTATTGGACTTGAATTTCTTTAAACGCTAAATATATGTCCCAATTTGCATACAATGTGTCATTTGTGTACGTTGAAAAATCACGTGTCATGCATTTGGTATAGCATTATTAACTATTTATAAGGCAAAATTACTTTTTTAATATCTTTCAAAGTATCAAATGACATTATGATATTAGAAATGGCGTAACAAATACCACCGGTGGAACATTGCCACTCTTTTGAAAAATTAAAGAGTTAATGCGAAATCTTTTATCTTTGAGAAAATACAAAAAAAAATATATAAAATCCTTTAGAGGCAAAACACTTGAGATACTACAATTGAAAAGGAGAGGGTCAATAGTATGTAAATTTTTCAATGGATAACAAAACAAGAAGAAGAAAACTAAGAATAAGAAGAGGTACCACACCTAAGATAACTCTGATGAAAACTGGCATTTCTACCCTTGAGTCACCAACTATATTATCAGATGGTGGATCCTCTACATCACCAGCCACTTGTGACTCTGGAACTTTCTCGTCAATCCTTGTTTTTATAACTGCTCAACCACAAAAGGAATTCACTAAATTTTTCTTCATCGCAAAACTTAAAAAGAATTTCTAATTAAGTAGATCATTCTATAAATGTTTTATAGCAAGTAGGTTTTTCTACCAAATCAAAAAGATAAACAAAGAATTGGCACTATATTTCAACAAACTCGGAGAAGTAGAATTGATTCCATAATTGTTTTGAGTGTTTGCTTAAAAATAAATAATTTCGTCAAGCAAACAAAAAACAAGTTCGACTAGTATTTTGTAAAAGTTATATGAATCTTAGTAGATAAAAAAAACAATTTACTCAAAAAAATCTTTAAAAAGCAAAAAAAAATATAATAATAATATTTAAGAGAAGTGTTATCAAACGTTACCTTAATTTCTATTTTGTTTGACAAAAATTAAAGACCAAAATCAGAATTCTATTGTGAAAAACAAAATAAATAAGACTCCGTTTAGTTCCCACTAATGGGCTCATGGAGGGATCAATTGGGTACATACCTGATTTTTTGCATTGTTTGCATAGGATGACTGCCTCAAAATCATTTAGCATAATGACTATTTATGTAAACTAATATGCCATATTGAAGAGTTAAGCAACTAATACTATGTAACGGTATGTCCAACCGTATATTTATCTCGATTTTCAGTAGTTAAATGAAGGAATCAACTTTCATTTTGACGATCCAATGTGTGAAAACTTCATATAAAATGTCATATCTAGAATTAGTGTACAAATATCCTGCATATTGCGGGTTTGGAAGAGTTAAATGGTAGCTTTATCCTCATTTCTTGTTGGTCAATTCCTAGACTAGATGTAACTTTATATGAAAAAGTTATTAATTTCATAAGGAAAAACAAAAAACAGACAACCAAAATTGGAAACCTTAAGTCTTAAGCCAATTTAGTTCTTTGTTATTTGATTGTTTACGAGAAAAAATCTATCAATTTATATTTTCAATTATATCCTCAAAATACTGCAATGCTTGTTACTACAATATAATGGCATAACACTTACTCTTATATACCACAGCTTCAAGCATCTGCAAAGGAACGAAGGGTGTCCTGCTCAGATCCTTCAACTCATACGTTGACTTGCTTCTGAAAGAAGATGATTTTGTAGCCAACAAATTCAAAACAGTCATACCATTTTCATCACGTTTGTCAGTAAGATCAGGGTATGATTCCAAGATGCGAATAGCCAAACCTAGTTGACATATAAGTAGTAAAAAATTTAAGTTAGGATGATAGTCGGGTGACTTTTCCTATATAACTTCACATCTCTTATATACAAGTCTTTGTTTGGTAATACTTTTTAATGTAATTTTTAAGTAACAAAGTAAATTTGTCAAAAAAGTAAAAGCATTTATAATTATTGTTTCGTAAAAGTGATCTAGATTCATTTTAGTATATAATTAATAAATTTTCAAAAATAATTATTCTTGTGATTAAGTTTAGAGGAAGGGAAGATAAAGCAAAAAAAAAGAATACAAAAACAAATGTGACTTAAAAAGAGCAAAATCGTATTTACAAAAACATTGCATCATTACCAAATGATGCCACTGTTCTCACTCTTAATTATCACATGAGAAGCCTAGTGTGTCACATGTCACTACTTTATTAGTCATCCAAAATTTTGTCTTGTAGTGTATGGGCTGACCCAAAAGCTCTGTGGCCCAGCCCAAACCACCACATGAAGGTTTCTGAGTTATTTAAGCCCCACTGACATAGACCATCGAGAAGAACAAATTTAATCGTAGGAAATTTTGGTGGTCAGTCACCTTTTATAGATTTATTTGAACTTAAATTCTCTCAAAAAATTTATTTGAAAATAAATCCATTTTAATCTTTATTGTCTAAAATATTCTCAGTAATATTTAATTAAAACAAATATATATATATCCTCAGTAATATATATAGTAGCGTGATCATGGAAGTTATGTACCGTGACCTCTATATAATAATATAATAAAGTAGCTAGAAAAATTTGTCGTTAACTTTTTGCGTTTTAGATCGCTTCACAATTATTGATCTGACGATCTTCATGCAAAATTTTTTTAAGATTTCTATCTCTCATCTAACTCTCTTGTCTTATTTCATAATAATGTACAACTCTCACTCCCTAATTAGACTTTTATTCTTTTTACAATTCTAACACTCTCATCTCTTATATAACTCTCTCTATCTCATACTCCATCTCCTATCTCCCACACATTTTAAACACGCTCTCTCTCATCTCTCATATAACTCTCTCTAAAATGGCTATATATATATAATAATAACAAAATACATCTACCCATTAAAACTCTAATAACAAGAATTATCTCTAACAAGTTAAATGGTATAATCATGTTCTTATATTTATTTTGATGTTCATTAACTGGTCTAATCATGTTCTTATTTGATGTTTGCTTTTTATTTTTATTGAATTTTTCTAGGTTTCTTAACTGGCTTTGTTTTCCTTTGTTTTTTGTAATTCCCTCTCCGTTTATGTATATTTACATTGGTAGCATTGTTACTTAAAATATTTGTCTAATAAATTTATAGTCTTTGCTGCTTTTTTTTTTTTTAGTCTGATCTGTATGCCAATAGACATCAGATTTTCCATTTCCTTAATTTTGAATGACTTTATATTTTTGTTTCATTTTGGTTGTAGGTTTGTCCACACAATAGGATATACAATTGATGTTGTGATTCGCAGATTTCTTTGGACGATTATTTCAAGGTTTTAGGGGTATTGTTGCGTTTAATAAATTATTATTTATTTAATTATACTATAGTTTTCATACTCAATAGTTTCTGGACTTGGGGTAACGGGTTTTCTCCTTTTTAAGATAAGTACTACTAAATTATTCTTTTTAATTTTCATATTTGTTACAACTTTACAAATTTGTTGATTGTCATATATATGCTCTACATGCAGGTTGATGTTTTTTTACAATGTGTGTTGAAATATTAGGAGTAATATAGCGTCTTCAGGAATGGGTAATGACTAATATATATAAACACAAAAAAATATTTATGAAATAATACTATTAACGTGCTCAACAAAAACAAATAGTAAAAAAAATAGTAACAAGGAATATTGAACAAAATTGAGATTCAAAAAATAATCACATTGAATATAAACATTACACACCAACATACTCAAAAATAAAAAATAGTGATATGAAAAAATTGTAATATGGAAAAATAGTAACATGAATATATTAATTAATCAAATGATATTTGAATCATTTTATCTTCCATTTTATGGCTACGTGGACATCTAATAGTCAAATAATATTCAATCCCATGAATTTGAATCATAAATTAATAGTAATATTATTATATTCCTCTTTCATTATCTAATACTCACGTTTTTTATCTGGTCGCAAGTTATTGCTCTTTTCGTATGATTTATGTTTTGCTTGGAGTTAGGCTTGTACTAACATCTTGATTTGTTAAGTATTTTTTGTTTATGAACAAGTGTGATCAATTGTAAATGATTACAATGAAAATGATATTTTGAGATTTATTTACTCTAAATCATATACCTTCTATGTGTTTAATTTCCACGGTAATAGGTTCATTTTTTGTTTAGTACTAAAACTCAATTTGTGTATTCAGCATTATATCTCGTGTGTAAAAAAATTACATGATTCTTCTCATACATTGATTAATTGAAACGAGATCTTCCATCATATGGATCATGGTTCGATTAGGTTTTTTGAATTACTCTAGGACATAAGGTATCAAATTCTAATTTTTGACAATATATATTTTACCATTTGAATGTGGTAAAATAAATTTTAGTATGTTCATTATAGATTTTTGTGGGTAATTCTTTTTTTAGAATGTTCATGAAGCATATATGATTTAATATTTGTCTTTTAGTAAATAATGAAGTAATTAGTGTTCACCAGTTATTTGTTGTTATCATCAAAAATATGATAGCAAATTTTGAGGTAGATTGTCCAAAGCTTATCATAATANTAATTTTGAATGACTTTATATTTTTGTTTCATTTTGGTTGTAGGTTTGTCCACACAATAGGATATACAATTGATGTTGTGATTCGCAGATTTCTTTGGACGATTATTTCAAGGTTTTAGGGGTATTGTTGCGTTTAATAAATTATTATTTATTTAATTATACTATAGTTTTCATACTCAATAGTTTCTGGACTTGGGGTAACGGGTTTTCTCCTTTTTAAGATAAGTACTACTAAATTATTCTTTTTAATTTTCATATTTGTTACAACTTTACAAATTTGTTGATTGTCATATATATGCTCTACATGCAGGTTGATGTTTTTTTACAATGTGTGTTGAAATATTAGGAGTAATATAGCGTCTTCAGGAATGGGTAATGACTAATATATATAAACACAAAAAAATATTTATGAAATAATACTATTAACGTGCTCAACAAAAACAAATAGTAAAAAAAATAGTAACAAGGAATATTGAACAAAATTGAGATTCAAAAAATAATCACATTGAATATAAACATTACACACCAACATACTCAAAAATAAAAAATAGTGATATGAAAAAATTGTAATATGGAAAAATAGTAACATGAATATATTAATTAATCAAATGATATTTGAATCATTTTATCTTCCATTTTATGGCTACGTGGACATCTAATAGTCAAATAATATTCAATCCCATGAATTTGAATCATAAATTAATAGTAATATTATTATATTCCTCTTTCATTATCTAATACTCACGTTTTTTATCTGGTCGCAAGTTATTGCTCTTTTCGTATGATTTATGTTTTGCTTGGAGTTAGGCTTGTACTAACATCTTGATTTGTTAAGTATTTTTTGTTTATGAACAAGTGTGATCAATTGTAAATGATTACAATGAAAATGATATTTTGAGATTTATTTACTCTAAATCATATACCTTCTATGTGTTTAATTTCCACGGTAATAGGTTCATTTTTTGTTTAGTACTAAAACTCAATTTGTGTATTCAGCATTATATCTCGTGTGTAAAAAAATTACATGATTCTTCTCATACATTGATTAATTGAAACGAGATCTTCCATCATATGGATCATGGTTCGATTAGGTTTTTTGAATTACTCTAGGACATAAGGTATCAAATTCTAATTTTTGACAATATATATTTTACCATTTGAATGTGGTAAAATAAATTTTAGTATGTTCATTATAGATTTTTGTGGGTAATTCTTTTTTTAGAATGTTCATGAAGCATATATGATTTAATATTTGTCTTTTAGTAAATAATGAAGTAATTAGTGTTCACCAGTTATTTGTTGTTATCATCAAAAATATGATAGCAAATTTTGAGGTAGATTGTCCAAAGCTTATCATAATATAAGCATCATTTTGTTTGTTATCCTTTTAGAAACGATGGATACTAAATTTAGAGTAGACTATTGAAATTCTAATTTTACATGTTAGTATGTGGGCTAAATATGTCTATGATTAAGTTTTACTAGATACTTCCAAAAATATTTAAGCAGAGTTTACTTGTACAGTTAACGTTATTTCATAATTTTTATAGTAATAATATATTTGATATTGAAAATGATTCACGTGCAATGCACTAGTATACAAAAAAAATATATAAACGTACATATCTATATCTATATCTATCTATCTGTATTACTAATAAAAGTACCCTAGCATAAAAAACTTTTGATTCATTATTTTACTCTTATAAAAAATTTTAAATATCACATTATCCTTTCATAGTTAAATTACCATCATATCCTTAGTGTTTAATTTTCAAATCACCCTTAACATCTCTTTTAATTCTCTATTTTTTATGTATAAGTATCAATAACTATGAAACATTTTAATTGACTATGTTACCCTTAAAAATAAGCATTGATTAGAATATTGTTGTTATTTTATTCAATGAATTATAAGTCAAAACATAATCAAATAAATTTTAAAATGAATTATTTTTTATCTTATAGTTAGAACAACGAATCGTTAAGAACAAACAATTTTTTTCAAATTCTATAATATAATATGAACGATAAAAACATAATTTTTATAAACTTGATATGATATTTAATTTAGGTACACATATACCTCAAATTTTTTATTAAATTTTATGTACGAAAATTATTTACGTGCAACACATGTGGTTCATTGCTAGTTTCAATAAATGTCATA